GACGCGGTCTGGGTACAGCAGCGTGAAGCGCGTCGACAGCATGCCGCCGAGGGAGTGGCCGATGAGGGTGACGCTCTTGATGCCGAGGGCGTCGAGCAGGTTGCGCGTGTTGAGGGCCAGCTGGGCCAGCGAGAATTGGTAGTCGTCTGGCTTGGAGGACTTGCAGAAGCCGATCTGGTCCGGGGCGATGACGCGGTAGCCTATGCGGGTGAGGGTCTGAATTGTGGATTGCCAGGTCACGCTACAGAAGTTCTTGCCGTGCAGGAGAAGCGCGACGGGAGGGTCTACCGGGGGGTAGCCGTGGCGAGGGCGACGAGGAGGGACATCAAGGAAGGCCATCTCCAGGGTGGCGGACTGAGAGGTGAAGGAGTAGAGGTTGATGGGATAGGGGTACGTAAAATTGGAGCCGTTAAGGTCCAGCGGCAAGTCTGAAGGTGTCGTGATGACGCCGGCAGGTGTGCTGTTGGTGGTGAGGCCAGTGACGACGCCTCCCATGGCCACCAGCCTTATGATCGACTGGATGGATAGCTTCATGTTGAAATAGAGGTTGTCTGAGTCGTCAGCTATGTGTAGCTTGGCTTTTGTAAGTGTAATGGTACCTACATAGGAACTCGGAAAGGACAGGATCGTGAGAGAGACCTCGCAATAAAGTGTTGGCGATTTCTCAGATAGATCGAGACAAGATGAATCGTCGCTGGTCAATTCGCCTACCAGAAGCAGCACTCATGCGTCGAGCCCACTGATGCCTCGGGAGAAAGAACAAAACATATTTTCAGGTCGAAAGGCCTCCTCTACCTACCTATTTGATGGACGAAAATGCAGGGAGTTGCCCCTGCAGCTTTGCAGGACTACGTCGACCGGGCTTTCGCAGTTTCTCAGGTCTAGAAGCGATGGGAGACCTACGCCGCAAATGGTCTCGTCAAATTCCGACTTTCTTCTCGCGGCCACGGACTCTAGTCTATTGATCAGTGCATGTACTTTCTTCTTTAACACCGGCCAAGAGTATAGGCCTCTCGTGGGGGCCCTGTAGGAACTGAAAGGGGAGAAGCCCAGTCAAGGTTGGTAGATGGACGCCTCACAGCACGCCTGTCAACGAAATGATGATAACCTTGTGCCGATCGACTTGCCATCTGCCACACACGTTGGGTATGACTGAGTGACATCTCGATGAATGTGCAGGTTCTCGTGGACCTCACGTTCTCTCATGTCGATGCAAAGCATGCTGCAGGCATCCCTTCCTTCGTTTGCCGAGGCCTGACGTCTCGCCCACATTCCCTTGCTGTGTTGCATCACGACATCCAAACACTCGGAACCTAAACATAAGACATCACTGGCACACCTCGCTATTCTGTCCAACCAACACTGGATTTCGGGTCAACGTGACTCGAATGCTTGCTTTTTCGCTTGCGCAGCGCTGGACCACGGCCGGTTCGCTCGGAATCGCGCAATTGCCATTTCTGGTCTTCATTCAGCTTGTAGTTGTTGATTTGGGGGGCCAGCAAGCAAACAAGAGCAGAACAGGGCGTTCGATGAGGAGATGAACTTGGGCGACGTGGGGGCAAGCTATTGAACGCCGGTTCATTGGTAGCTTCGCCATGTCTTGTTCTGTGCCAGAAGCAATGTTGCACTCTTTTCGAGCTTGCTCTGTCGTTCAGTGGGCGCGGGCGCCTTCGCTCGAGGTGAGACAGTTGCCCACATCGCCTGCATCGCCCGTTTTGTCCATCCATCTCGTTCTCCTCGCCCACTACCTCTTGTGGCACTGCCGACCTGATCGACGAAAACTCACCCGCGACTGGTCTCTCACGTTGAGTGATCCCTCTGCTGCTCATTCCTCTTGAGCCCGCGACACGCGAATCCACGTGACGGCCCAGCTAAGCCCACTGACCGACCACCTCGAGGCGTCCCACGCTGGCAGTGTGCCGTCCTTCTCCCTGCGGCTGAGGAATGCCTTGACCGACAAACCAGCCACTGATCCCTCACAATCTGTCTTTCCTCTTGATTCTTCACTGCTATCTGCCGGCAGCTTTCTGCTAGCACCAGCTACTGGCCTCGATCCAGCGGGTTCCTGACAGCTGAGATGTGATGTGATGGGTTGTCTTATGTTCCGTAGAAGCAATGCAAGTCTTGGCGTCCTCACACCATCTTGCAAATACCGGTCAACTAACGTCGCCGTTTGATTTGTCTGCTTCTTAGGCCGGTACTGTGCTGCGCGTTTTACTACTCATCTGAAGGCAGATAGCAAGCCCTACGCGTCCTCGAACCATATTGTGCACTATCACCACCTCATAATTGCTTCTGCTCCGGAGCCAGCCGATCGACAACGTCTTCAGCTGCAGACCTGGGCCCTGGAGATCAAGTGCCCTCGCCCATATCGCTGTCCAAAGACAACCTCCGCTCGTCTCTCTTTGCCAGTGTCGACTGAGACAGGCCGCTCAAGCCGGGTGTTCATTCCCCCACGTCTTTTCTCCCACGCCACCCTGGCTGGCCCTCTTCTCCCGTTCGAAGCGCCCAGCACCCCAGGCCAAACTCGGATCGACATGCATTCCGCAAGGCCCATCACCTCGGGCCCGACTTCATGTGAGGGTACGTCGTGAAGGACATATATCCAACGCTGTCTCCGCCCCAAGTAACCTGTGTGTTCCGATATGCGTGACGTACGACCATACTTCTCCATCCCACGACCAAGCGTCGAGAAGGCTACTGCTGCGAGCGTTCGCTAGCCACATCACACAAGTGACATAGCCAATATGGGCGCCCCCGGCAATACTCCCGGAGAGAGCAATGCGCTCATGGTGCAAGTGCCGTGCATGGTCTTCTTTGTGTTGACGCCTATCTTCTTCACGGTGCGCATCTGGTCAAGACTCAAGCTGCGGTCAGGGTTTGGGTGGGATGACTGGACCATCTTAGCCTCGTTTGTAAGTGTATTCGGAGGTTGTCAACGAACTGGACTAACAGAGGTAGACCTGCTGCATGGCGGTTTCGGTTCTCATGATGGCCTCGGTTCATTACGGGTTTGGCCAGCACATCTTCAATATTGAGAAGAACAACCGCATCATGGCCATGAAGGTATCTTCAGTTGTACTTTACAACACGTTCTCGCGCGAACATGGACTAACATTAGCTGTAGCTGTTTTACGTTGCTCAAATCTTTTACAAACTCACAATCAACCTCACCAAATCTTCTATCCTGTTGCTCTACCTCCGCCTCTTCTACCTTCACCGACCGTTTCGCATCACCTGCATCGCCCTTCTGACGGTCATCCTCCTCTATTGCATCGCCACGACAGCGTCCTCCATCTTCCAGTGCACGCCCATCCCGCGTGCCTGGAACCGCTCCATTCCGGGGACGTGCATTTCACTGACGTACAACTGGTACGCCAACGCCATCTTCTCCATCTCAACAGACGTCGCCATCATCCTGCTGCCCCAGAGAGTCATCTGGAAGAGCCAGCTGCCCATCAGCCACAAGCGGGCCCTCATGGGCGTGTTCGGCCTCGGCGTGTTCGTCACGGTAACGAGCATCCTGCGCATGACAACTCTCAACTTTTCCACCCGCAGTCCGGACTCCACATGTTCGTGCCCCCGTGCCCCTTCAGCCCGCTCCGGCATAAGCGACAAGTTGCTAACACGTTGTGAAACCATAGACGACATAGCTTCTACGCTGTGGACAATGATTGAGATTCACGTGGCCATCATCTGCGCCTGCCTGCCCATGTGTCGCCTGCCCCTCGCCTACCTCTTCCCCTCCGTCCTCGGCACAACGGCCAAGACGTCACCGTCCAACGCGACGTCCGCATCCGAACAGCCCCAGGGCGCGCCAGACGTTCCGCTCGAGCCGATGCCCACGCGCGGCGGCGACCTCGAAAAGGGCGACGGCAAACCCGCGGCGTTCGTGCGTGCCGCGCGCGGGGACAGCGAGGAGTATATCCTGCGGCCGCTGACGGGGCAGGGCAGGGGCGAGGATGAGGAGGAGCACAGGGAAGGGCGGCCGGAGAGTGGTATTCGGAAGACCATGTGGTTCGAGATGAGGTCGGAAAGGAGTACGGTCGCGCCTGGGCAGGCGATGTAGGGGATGGCAATGGAGGAAAAGGAGGAGGAGGACGTGATGGGGTGTTTGTATATGAGCCTTGATACCTTGTAGAGATGATTTCTTTTGTCTGATATGCTTTGGAGTATTCCGGTTCTTGGTGTGGCGTTATTTTCAACATCCATCACCAAGTGACTGCGTCGATTTGGCCGGAGGCAAATTGGTGAGTGCACAGTTGGTGCATCATGATTCGAGATGATTAAATTCTCTTCTGGAGACCATGTTGTACCTACATCCGAAGAAGCTTCGCTGAGCGAGTTATTCCAGCAGCGGTCGCTGGTTTGTGCTGCACGCTTGTTGGAAACATTAAATGTTGACTGATTTCGTGGGAGCCGAGGCCATGTGAAACAATCAATTGATATCGACCATAAAATCAACGTTCTAATCCATGTTGCCAAACCAAGCACATGGACCACAAACACCAGCAACCGATGATTTGGAGGGCCGCAGACATGCAGCCAACTTGGTATTGTTGTGATAAACTTGGTGGGCCCATCCATTTGGTCATATGACCAGTCTTCTAGGTCACGTGGAGCCCACTGAGCTGTTGCCCAAATCTTGAGTGGTCTCACTGACGACCTGGAGACGAAGCAGAGCCACGTCAGGTGATCACATCACCCAATCACTTCACGATGCGAAGCTGCTGGAGTGGCCTAGGCCGTCGCAGCAACCCGGAAAGCGAAAGATGGTTCTCGAGATATCTGGAAATCGTTTGCTAAGCATACGTCAACCGCATCTAAGCAACAAGCGATGCAAAGTTTGGCTGCGGGCGACTGGCTTTAGAGACCTACCCACCTCACCTTGATTGTTGTGGGCGGGCAATTATCCTTCTCCTGAAATGTAGCAACCCCAGGTACTTAAGCTGCTTCTTGGCTGCTGGGATGGTATGTTCACGCTCCTTGCTCGAACGGACAAGTGTCTAGGGCGAATCGCAATGACGGAGGAAGTCGCGATTGGGGAAGCCTCATCCCCAGTACCACCAGGCATTTGGGAAGGCAAGAGCAGCCAGTATGAATGGAACACGACCTATTGATTCAGTTTCTTTGACATTCACTGGATTTGAAATCGAATATCCTCCTCAGGACCCTCGCGGTCAACGCTCTGGCCCGGGGTCAATTCCAAACCATTCGTACCACATCATACGCTTTTGCCATTTAAGTCTTCACTTCTTGTAACTCGAAGCTGCGAGCATTCGTTACAAGCTTCGGCTACATACCTGGCACAACTTCTCTGTCACTTCCGCGCAGCCGCAGTTATATTCAGCCTGCGGTTCAGGACGTCGGCCTCGCCCTCCCATCGCCTCAGCAGCTCCATACAAACCGTGCCGCATCGACCAGACTTTCTTTGCGCGCGAAGCAATGGCGGAGCAACCGAGCGTCGCCGAAATTGCCATCTTTGACCTCTTCGATACCCCTGAAGAGGCCAGCGACCACCACAACGCCATGAATTATTACAGTGTCTGGCGCCAACTCCTCAAGGGCCACGAGGAGAACAACCTTAAGACGTTGCCGTACGAGGACCGTGTGTTCACCGACACCCGAGCTTACCGAGTGAACCGTCACAATGTACGAGCTGGAATTGAGCGCCTCGTGGAGCACAGGTCAGCCGCCGTTGCGCGCCAGAAGAGACAGGCTGCTGCTGCCGCCAAGATCCGAGATGACATTCTGAAGAAGCTCAGTACTCAGCCTGTCGGAACGACAGGATTCGACTGGGCAGATGATATGGAAGAGGCCGTGACGATGCGAGAGAATCATGTTGAAGGCTGGGAAGATAGGTTCGCCTGCAACATGGAGGTAGATGAGCCAGAGAAGTCTGAGTATCTCTTCGTGCCCGACGCGTCGCCTTCAGGGTGGGCTGCAGCCGAGGACGGCTGGCCAGATGAGGTCGACGAAGGCGCCAACAAGATCCACGAGACTGAAAAGACAAACGAGGCCATCTTTGCGGCATACCACACCAGCAGCGACAGTAGGAACATCGCGGTAGAAGAGATCCGCGAGAAGCACGATACCGAGCTTGGTGACATTGAGTATGAAAACACATTTGAAAGTCACCATAACAAAGATTCGGAAGACGATGACGAGAATGAGGAGGAAGAGGTCACGTCTGACGAGGACCTCAACATGGGGGAAACTCCCTCTACCAGCGAGCCCTCCAGCACCGAAACAACGATCGAGATCCGGGATCTTGTAAGCCCGGTGAAGAAAGAATGCGTCGACTTGCCTCTTGACGCCGATGGTCAAATCTCACTTCATTATGATGGAGCATCAGCCCGCAGTCCCTTCGATCCTCACCAAGCAGCTGAACAGGGTTCATTGAAGGAGCAGGCTGGTAAGTTACCATCTGTCGAGATCGGTCTCCCTGATTCCGACTCTAACTTTTGCGCAGAAATTAGAGCCATGAATCCGCCGAAGTTTGTCCAGGCAGTTCTCGAGATGGCTCGCTCTGAGCTTGAAGATACCGACGAGTTCAAGAGGCGCTTCCGCCTTCCCCTTTCCGACAAGCGCTGGGTACGCCGCGCCATGAAGAACCACGCCGAAGAGGTGGAACGAGCCGAGCACCTGGTGAGCACAGCGTATTGCGTCAACGGCATGACCCGAGGAAGAGAAGCGAAGGAAACACCGTTGAACCAGGTCATCCTCATGGAGGAATGGATGGCTGATGACGAGGTTGGCTCTAGGACCGCTTAGCTGTCGAGAAAGGAGCAGCAGATCATGGACATGTTGAGAGGAAGAGGGGCCGTTTGGTGAAGGACCCATGACTCAAAGTCATCCGAACTGGGCGGATTTTATTTTGTTCTACTGCTAGCGATGCATCAGGAGGCTTGATACCCCAGAGTAGTAGTTAAGGTCGGTATTGCAGGATGTGAGACCTTTGGAAGAATACGAAAAGACTACAGGTACCTCGATAAACCAGGTTATCAAAGCCGATCAATTATCGTGAATGACGCTGATGTGCCTGAAAGTCTCTCTTGCCAGCGGTAAGGCATCTTCCCACAGCATGTCTCATCACAGCTGAAGCCCGCCAATCCTACCGCGTCGTCCCGAGCCTCCACGACTGTACAAATGTCTCCCGTTGCACACGAAGCTGCTGTGTACTATCATCGGAAGATTCCTCATGACCTTGAATGAGAGGCCTGTCAAGGAAACGTGGTCACGAACGAATATGCTTTTTACTGGCGATCAGTTTGCCAATTCGCTGGCGTACCATGTCTGAGAGAGATAGGCACACTTTCGTGGTACGTTGTGAGAGATATTGTCTTCCCCGATTTCGACTCCGGGGAGAATGGGGGAAGGTCGCCAGCCGATGAGGACCGAGGAGAGTGACAGAAGTGCTGAGGTCTATTGATCGGAGGCAAACAATCGGTTCCGATGTTGCTCGCCTTGTAAGAGAGGTGTTGAACCAAGTGCCTTCGACTGCGAGAACTGCACTGCGTCCTCCATAGTGTAGAGGCTTGCCAGCTATCTCTCGACGATGCCCAAGCTCTCAGGCCGCACAGCTTCCTCGCCAAGCGTCGTACCACCTCGTGTCCTCTGTCTGGTTCGACCCCCCCTTGAGCGAGGGATGCAAGCAGCCGGGCCTAGCCATGTTATTGTACGAACTCGATCGATTTCTGAGGGCCCGATGCTGTGCTTGGGAAGCTGCCAGGGGTATGACTGCGAAGAGCCGCTAACATGGGGACAGACAGTCCTTTGAGAGATGTGGTCTTGGGGTTGATCTTGGTGATTTTTTCTAGAATAATGATTGTGCTTCTGGAAATCCGAGGGCATATTTAGATGAATGCTTCATGTTCTACTAGGCAGAGGATGGCGACTGTGGGAAAAAGTAAGACGAGGAGCACCGAGCCAACCTGCCATGATGCGTTCGCCAGGATCCCGACGAGTGCTTTGTCCAACACCAACCAATACCTACTTCACAAACTGAACTTGAGCAGTCCACATGAGAATTGCAGACTGGAATTTCTCAAGAAACCTCATCAATGCCAACAGACTTCATGACGGTCAACGCCCACTGCCGGGGTGTTTATCAAGGATGTGCTATGGAGGAAGGAACCAGGGGAAGTGGGATGAGTACTTGCCGTATGCCAACTGCAGGCAAGAGGTAGGAACGATCCAATGCCAAGAAAATATCGTAGGACAAGCAGGAGCCAGAACTAGAGGGGGCAGCAATCGGGTTGAGCGCCTGATGTTGTGACCCTTCGATCGGACCAGACTCACCACGCGCTGAACGCCGTCCGTCTTCCTTCCTCTTGACACAAACCTGGGCCGCAACGCGACATATTCTACGGAGACACAAGACTAGGCACTTTATCTCAACCCGTTCTCATCTGATACGGACTGCCACGATCATACTTATTTCTCAAGAGGCAATCGCCGAACGAACTGTCGTAGCATCCCGATCATCATCGCTACCACCATGTCGACAGAGAAAGGCATTCCCGACGGCGCAGATGCTCCTAAGAGTGACAAAAGTAGCAGTAGTGATGCTGCTGCCGTTCCTCCTCTGACCGATGGCGAGGTGAACCCCAAGTCCAGCCGCGAGGCGGATCGGAACAGGCACCTCGATCAGTCTCTTGCTGGAGTTCTCGTCACAGACGACGCAGTCGCTGCCACGGCCGAAGCCCTCCGAAAATCGCTTGTCCGCAAGTACGACATACGTTTGATGCCCGTTTGTTTTACTACTTTCCTCTTTTTTTTTCTCGACAAAGCCAACATCGCCCTTGCTAGGATCAATGGACTTGAAGAGGACCTCGGGTTGACATCAGTCCAATTCAACATAGCCCTGATGCTGTTCTTCATCCTGAACATCCTTTTCAACATCCCTGGCAATCTCGCTCTACGCCATGTCGGAGGCGGCAACTGGCTGCCTCTGCTCATTGTCTCTTGGGGAATCGTTACTACCCTCACCGGCTTTGTAACCAGCTTCGCCGGCCTTTGCGTCACCCGCGTCTTCCTAGGCCTTGCCGAAAGCAGCTTCATGGGCGGCGTTCTTATATACTTGGGCTTCTTCTACACTCCGGACGAGCTGATCTCACGGGTCGGCATCTTTTACTCGAGCGCCCCTCTCGCTGGCTCGGTTGGTGGCCTGCTCGCCGGCGGGCTTGGTCGCGTGAGACTCAGCGGCTACAACGGCTGGCCGTGGATTTTCTTCGTCGAAGGCGTCCTCACCGTCATCCTCGGTATCGTCTCCTACTGCTTCCTCCCGAATACGCCCCGCGACACCAGCTTCCTCACCGACCGGGAACGTACCCTTGCCTTGCGTCGTATGCACAGCCAGGACCGCCAATACTACTCGAACGTGTTCGTTGCCAACGATGCAGACTTCCGATCGACAGTCAACCCTGACGAGAAGCCAGCAAAAGACCATCTGCAGTTCAAGACGGTCAAGCGTGCCATCTTCAACTTCATGACCCTTATCATGAGCATCGGAGCCTTCTTCTCCATCGAAGCCATCTACTCATACGCCCTATTCCTTCCGACAATCATCCAAACTATGGGCTTCAAATCGCTTCAAGCCAGCCTCATGACAGTGCCTCCCAACTTTGTCGGCTTCCTCTTCACCCTGGGCATCTGCTACTGGAGCCGCCGCATCAGACGTACCGCACTTCCTCTGAATGTGTGCTGCATCCTTGGCATCATCGGCTTCATTCTGCTGCTTGTTGGTGGACAGACGGGCCGCGGACCTATGAATGTTTCAGCGCCTGTTCAGTATACCGGCACGTTCTTCGTTGCCATGTCAGTGAATGCGCTGCCTCCGCTGGCGTTGACGTGGATGACAATCAACGCAAGGCCTCACTACGTTCGTGCGATCGCATTAGGGTTCGTTCTGACTGTTGGAAACCTCGCTGCATTCCTTGCTTCCTTCACGTACATCAAGACCGAAGCACCAGCGTAAGTGCACCTCGAGCAGTCGTGGAACCCCGCTAACAGGAACAGTTATGTCAGGGGCCACGCTATCAATCTTGGCTGCCTAACAGGCTTGCTAGCCATTGGTATCATCACGCCCCTCTGGATGCGCTCTGAGAATCACAAGCGCGATCGAGGTGAGCGGGATCACCGCCTTGACGAGGCGCGATGGGTCGCTGCTGGGCAGACGAAGGAGCAGTACGAACTGCAGCTTGGATGGCTGCATCCGGGCTACCGATACAAGATCTGAACTTTCTGCGTGGAATGTTCAGGAGCGATGGACCCAGGACTACGCCATGGCCGTGTGATGGTGAACAACGGAAAAGTTTGCATGAGAATTGCTGTGGACATACGGTCGAATTGTAATCAGAAGTAATGGCATGTAGAGCTGTTGTGTAAGCGCTAGGAATGGTGAAAAAAGACCCGAATATGAGATCGAGTACAGCCAATGGACCCCTGTTGGCGAATCGCATCTGTCGGCCGTTGAGCTGTACTGCTTCACATCCAGCCCTGGGACAGGGACTGCGAGATTGAAACCGTCGGTATATTTTGGGGGCAGCGCCGGCTGCCAGAAATCCCCGTTACGCCAAACAATGCTATGTGATACACCAATCGACAAACACGCCTCCGTCACGTCGTTAAACCCCCCCTGCCTGCGGGCTCCGCTTCGCATCCGCGCATCCGGCTCAGAACCGTATCTCGTAAGACCCGGCCCGCGTCATGTACCGCACCCACTTGACGCTCGAGTAGTTGCTCTTCTCAAAGACCTTGAGGTAGCGGACCAGCAGGCCGCTGCTCGTGAACATGAGGAGGCTAAAGTTGAGGCTCAGGGGCGGGCGGCTCCAGGCGCGCTGGTTGGTCATGCTCGACAGCGAGGCCTCGGCGCTGAGGACGAACTCGCTCTGGCCGGCGAAGCGGCCGATCTTCCAGACGATGACGTTGTCGGAGGGCTCGTAGCGGGCCTTGCCCTGGGTGCAGCGCTCGGTGATCTTGGCCGTGTTGAGCGGGGTGGGGATGCGGACGACGACGTTGGTGGCGAAGAGCTTGGAGCCAAAGTTGGCCTTGATGGAGATGCTGTACTCGACCTTTGTGCGGCCGACCTCGTTGACAATGGCGTGGACCTTGAAGGGCAGGTTGACGTTTTCGGTGGCGCGGTAGCGCATGAGCTCAAACTCGCCGTCGGGCGGCACAAACGAGATGATGCGGTCGCTGTCGAACTTGCCGAGCTTGACGCACTGGTGGAACTGGCAGTCCTCGAGCGTGACGCTGCCGGCGGCGGCCTTGGTGGCCTTGGACCCCATGCGGTTGCCCGAGGGCAGCGACAGCAGGCCGTCGTTGTCGAGCAGCAGGCGGTCGTTGAGGCCAAACTTGCACTCGGGCGTGCCCGAGAGGTAGGCGCGCATGACAATCTGGCCCGTGACGTCGGCGCGCAGCACGGCGCCCGTCGCCGACATGAGGAGGTTGACGTCCTCGATGACGTCGACAAAGGCCTCGTTCTTGCGGTACTTGACGTCGGCCTTGCGCCACGAGAGCGCGCCCGTCGCCTGCATGGTGATCTTGGCCGAGTCCTCGGCCGCGCGCTCCGACTTGACGCCCTCGGTCGTGATGTACATTTTCAGCGTGTCCGTCTCCGTGTTCTGCGGGTAGCCAAAGTCGATGATCTCTGTGTGCGCGAACCGTTCTCGTCAGTCCGGAATTACTTTGCCTTGCATCGAGTCGACGGATGCGCATGGGCTTACCGTCTAGAAGCTCGTAGACCAGCACAAAGTTGTTCTTGACAGCCTCCTCGTCAAACTTGCCAAAGTAGCCGCGGCCCAGAGCGATCAAGCGATACAGAAACTCAAACACGAGCGCCGCATTCGCGTTGCTCTTGGTGACGGCCACCAGGTAGATGTTCTCGTGCTTGACATGGCTGAAGGTGGTGCTCCCGAGCGTCAGGATGGGCGAGCGGACCTGGGCGTTGGAGATGACCTGGATGCGGAAGACGTCGGCGAGGCGCGGGCGGCAGTCGTTGCGGAAGGCACGGAAGATGAGGTTCTCGCCTTTCTGGTTGAAGACGAGGATGCCGGACAGCATCTTGTCGGAGGAGCCGGAGGGGCGGGGGCGTGACTATGAATCGGATCGGGGGCCTGCGGCTTTGGGCTCGGCGACGATGAGGGTCGTGATCCATCGTGTCGCCGTGCTGGAGCTCCTGGCGGGGAACTCGGTCAGGGGAAATTCTGCCGCGACCCTGAGGGAGTATGAAGCAGGCGGTGAGAGATAGCTCAGACCCGGTGTTCAGCCAATGTGGATCTGACACAGGCTCACGTGACCAAGGCCCTGCACAGACCAGCTCTTGTGGGATCTGGTAAAGTGAAGCCTTCGCCGTCCCAACCTGCACCAGCACCTCCAGAGACTGAGCAGGGGGACCTTGACTCGACAGCCTGACCTGGCATGTGACCAAGACGACGGGGAGACCATTGTCTCATCATTGCCCGGCCGCTGAGTCGGGACGAACAGCCGTCTGTCCTGTTGTCTGCTGACAGACGACGCAGATCATCACGCCCATCGGAACAGGCATCGCGGCGAATTTCCTGCTGCATCGGACACGGAGCCTCTCAATGCACGATTCCAGGAAGGGCTAAGTTGCCTCTCAACCGCTCGCTGTCAATTGCGCCATGGGCTATTTCCGACACGCTCAGCTTCTGCTGGATATCGCGTTTTCCTGAGAAGGCAAAGTGGCAGGCTCCTGTCCATGATGGCCACAACCACCAGCGTCCGTTGTTATTCAGGGTCCGGTCCGTCCGTCGATCGCCGTCGTCCAAGAGAGTTGAACATGCGGCGATCGAAGCTTGTCGGTGCTGCCGATGCCTCTTGATTGCCTCAGAGAACCGTGGTGGGTGGAGTGGCCTAGTGGCTTGTGCCCCTTTGATTGCAGGGGCAAACACTCTCCCTGCCGAGTTTCCTCCCACGCCTCCGGTTTGCAATATCGACTTCATATGTTCTGTACCTCTGCCTATGCTGTTGGTTATTATCCCGAGATCCAACCGTACGCCACTGATCGGCTGAGTCGGTACTCGGTGAACCAATGTCGAGGCCTCAAACCTGAAGCCTGATTGCTGTCGCCCCTCACATCGTCGCCACGCACCGTCGGACGACACTTCCGAGGCCATGATTGAGCGTGTTTCTCTTCGCTTGAATGTGTACCGTGTACGACACCAGCCTAAAGCCTCATCTGAGCCCTCTTACCCCTCACACACCCAGAGTACAACCCCTGACAACCTCATTATACCCCACATACGAAGCGCCCCGGGGATCATGGAGCCCTTCCCAATCTGGAAATCGGAGGAGCCATGCCTCCGAACTACACCAAAGCTCCGGCCTAGCCTACGCAGCGCTTGGCCGTTCCTTGGTTGGCAGCTGTCTCGAGACGCCATGTCTGATATTGCAACCCGACCCTGAAGAACGGGGCTGCGCTTCGCTTTGGGGGTCAGCACCCGGCCACCTGCGCAAGGTTGCCCCTGGGATCTGCCTCACCTCACCCACCTTCGACTGTCTCTATACAGTACCCGTGTGCCTTGGCTTCCGCCTATGCCTTCGCACTTGGGAGTCTGGCTCTGCGTGACGGCTCGGCATGTTCGCCGCCACGCCCGTGAGCGACACCAGGCACGCATGCCGCCTCCAGACCCCATGGGCCATATGCCGTTCTCGGCTCTTCGGGTCCCCTCCGCTTGTCTCGATGGAGCCAGGAACCCCAGACAATGTCTATTCCCCGTCTCCGCCATCGTGGAGAAGCTCTAATTCCAGGTCGAGCTCAATATGTAAAGTTTCCCGTGATTCCGTCGACCAAAGGCTTGGCTCGAGCTAAAGCAAAGGGGAAGCAAACCCTCACGAGCTGGTATAAGACGGTGGCATCTCGGTCGTCTTGTTACGAACTCTTCTCTTGCCCTCAGCCCCATCATCTCTCTTGCGACTTGCGTTCTCTACTCTCACAATGGCTGGACGTCTCTTCCTCTCCGCTGCTCTCCTGAGCACCGCGGCTTTCGCTGCCCCTCTCGAGGAGCGCCAGGCCTGCGCCTCCCAGTGGTGAGTACTTTTTTGCCCGCAAGGCCCAACAAGACGGTCATATCTAACCACCTTTTCTCAGGGGCCAGTGCGGTGGCCAAGGCTGGTCCGGCCCTACCTGCTGCCCTTCCGGCACCACGTGCCAGCTTCAGAACGCCTGGTACAGCCAGTGCCTGCCCGGCGCCGCTCCTCCCCCGGCCGTCACCACCACTCGCCCGGCCACCACCGCTGCCTCTTCCACCCGTCCCGCCACCACCTCCTCTGTCCGCTCCACCACCGTCGTGAACCCCCCCACGACCACTGTTGCCCCTCCTCCCGGCACCACCGTCGCTCCCCCCCCGGGCGGCGCCACCTACACCGGCAACCCCTTCGCCGGCGTCAACCAGTGGGCCAACGCCTACTACCGGTCTGAGGTCTCCTCCCTCGCCGTTCCCAGCCTGAGCGGTCCCCTGGCCACCGCCGCCGCCAAGGTCGCCGATGTCCCCACCTTCCAGTGGATGTAAGTTGCTCTCTGTTTGATATTTGCCTGTCTTTGTGTTTCTTGACTCACACTCCGTAGGGACACCACCGCCAAGGTTCCCCTGATCGACGGCGCCCTCGCCGACATCCGCCGCGCCAACGCCGCCGGTGGCAACTACGCCGGTATCTTCGTCGTCTACAACCTGCCTGACCGTGACTGCGCCGCCGCCGCCTCCAACGGTGAGCTGTCCATCGCCAACGACGGTATCAACAAGTACAAGGCCTACATTGACTCGATCCGCGCCGTCCTCCTGAAGTACAACGACATCCGCACCCTGCTTGTCATTGGTATGTGTCCACGTGCAAAACTACAGCTGAGTGTGATGTGAAGCTAACCAGTCAACAGAGCCCGATTCGCTCGCCAACATGGTCACCAACATGGGTGTCGCCAAGTGCTCCAACGCTGCCGCCGCCTACAAGGAGTGCACCAAGTACGCCGTCCAGCAGCTTGACCTTCCCCACGTTGCCCAGTACCTCGATGCCGGCCACGCTGGCTGGCTCGGCTGGCCCGCCAACATTGGCCCGGCCGCCACCATCTTCACCGACATCTACAAGGAAGCCGGCAGGCCCAAGTCCCTCCGTGGCCTCGCCACCAACGTCTCCAACTACAACGCTTGGAACGCCACCAGCCCCGCCCCCTACACCAGCCGTGAGTTTAGGATCTTTGCTGGCCATTGAAGCACCCTCAGCTAACACAGTGCCTGCCAGCCAACCCCAACTACGACGAGAAGCATTACGTCGATGCCTTCGCTCCCCTCCTCCGCCAGAACGGCTGGGACGCCAAGTTCATCATCGACCAGGGCCGCTCCGGCAAGCAGCCCACCGGCCAGCAGGAGTGGGGACACTGGTGCAACGCCCTCGGCACCGGCTTCGGCCTGCGCCCCACCTCCAACACCGGCCACCCCGACGTTGACGCCTTCGTCTGGGTCAAGCCCGGTGGTGAGGCCGACGGTACCAGCGACACCACCGCTGTCCGGTACGACCACTTCTGCGGCAGCGCCTCGTCCATGAAGCCGTGAGTTTCCTGATGCCCCAGTATCTTGACAATGAACCATGTTGCTGACAGTGACACAGTGCTCCCGAGGCCGGTACCTGGTTCCAGGCCTACTTCGAGCAGCTTCTGCGCAACGCCAACCCCTCTTTCTAAGCGGTTGATTCTCGCGTCTAAGGTTCCGCTTTGACAGACGGACAGACGAACAGGAAAAAACAAATTGCGGTTGCCCTGCCCTGCTTGACGGGCGGCTGGATAGATTGGAGCTGAGACAGCACTAGTGCTGGAACTTCTTGTACATATTTCGGAAGCATCCGACACGATTGACGTATATATCTTCAAAAGAACATACTTTGCCCTGGCCATGTTGCATCGCTTGTGTTCACGCCATGGCGTTTCGGTGAGTGCCGCGGGCCGTTTTTGACGCGTTCGTGAAGTTGTTATTGGAGGGTTATTTGCGTCAATAAGTCGTGGGACTTAAGAGCATGGCGTTGAAGTATCTACGGAAGTAGTCATCCAGCTTAGTGACGACTGTTGGTCGTGCTATCAAGGTTGGATGGCAGGGAACACAGCATCACAAATGTTGTCGTCATGTTTAAGTATGCCTGGGTATAACATGAAGGTCAGGCAGTTCCTCACTTCCAAGTCCGCCACTTCCAAGTCCGCAATCGTCAACCTCACGAATTCATCACAATCACCTGGTTCAACATCACCAATGCGTGTCAAGAGTGGGCCTCATCGTGTATTGGCATTCAACATCCTCTTCTCAGAAGGACGCTATCTGTAGCGCAAGGCAAGATCTGCAAGTGACGAAGAAGAAGCGAGCGACTGTCCCCAGATCAAGCGAGCAGCGGGACGGCGACTCCATCCCGTTCTTTAGGCCTTGACGGCAGCGATCTCAATGGGCAGCCTGCGGAAGCCGCCGCAGCAGGCCACGTCCTTCTGCAGCTCGACCATGCGCTTCTGGTCGCCGGTGGGATCGCTCGACTCGCCTTCGAGCTTCCAGCCGAGGAACTCGTTGGTGTAGTTGGGCTCGAAGCTCTCGCTCAGCACGCCGAGGCGCTTGCCGTAGCGCGTGACCTTGTCCCAGTCGCGGCGCACGTTCTGCAGGTCCTTGGAGAAGTAGGCGTAGCTGCGCTCAAAGATCTTGCGGTTGAGGTCCGAGCCCATGACGGGCTTGAAGTCGACGTACTCGGCCCACGCGGCCTCGGGCGCGGCGAGGACGAAGTCGGTCGCGCGCTTGACGGCGCGCATGAAGGCGCGCACGCGCTCCGGGTTCTCGGCGATGAATTTCTCATTGCCGATGTAGAGGATGGAGCAGAAGCAGCAGCAGCCGAGCTCGGCGAGCTCGTCGATGCGCAGCATCTGCACGTCCGACTTGGGGCGGCCCTGGCCGGCGAGCCACTCCTCGAGCTCGACCATCTGGACGTTCTCCAGGCCGATGCCGGCGTCAATGTCGCCGCGGATGATGGCCTTGGAGACGTTCATGCCGCACCGCACGGCCGTGTAGTCCTCGGGCGACATGCCGTAGTGCGACGTCAGCTCGTCGATCTGGATCTTGCCGAACTCGCCGACGTAGCCGATGCGCTTGCCCTTGAGGGAGCGGAAGTCGGTCGTGATGCCCGAGTCCTTGAGGTACACGACGCCGGTGAAGGGCTCGTCGAGGAGACTGCCGATGGAGACGACGGGGAAGTCGCGAGCCTTGGCCTGGTAGGGGGCTGTGTCAGATATGGAGGGTCAGAATCGGAACAGGCATGAAAGCTTACGGCGAGAGTGTGAATCATGGCCTTGAAACCAAGGTCGACCTTGCCGGTGCCGATGATTTCGGTGACATCCTACAGGCGAACCATGATTAGCGCACTGTCAAACGCCGTGAAACTGATTCAGACAACTCACGCTGGGGTCGTTGGGCTCGAGGAGAGCGACCTTGATGCCCTCGTCCTTGAAGTAGCCCTTGGCCTGCGCCAGGTACAGTGGTGCATGGTAGGGGGTGGCGTGCCTTTGTAAAAACGCACGGTCAACGGGCAGCCCACGGCATCACGAAGGCCCGAGTCCTCTTACCAGTTGGCAAGGAAGGTGATCTTATCAGTCGACATGATGGAAGATCGGGCGTGACGCTGCGGGGGTTAGTTCAACACCGTCGGGCAAAGGCATGGGGGATAAAGGGGAGTCTAAAGAAGCATGTCCTTTCGCTGGTATTATCCAGATCAAGTTCGCCGGTATTTCTCAGATCGACTGCCTGCTGTGCCTGGTCTCGAGAAGGATGGGAGTTCGCCACCAACTGAGGGAGCAGGACACGGCGAGACAGCCGAACACCCGGATGCATTCTTAACCAACTTTACCTCGATCTGGAGATGGTTCCATGATGAAAGATTTCATGTTTCTTTGACCACAAGGTCACCGTACCGAGTACGTAGTCGATTGGGTTGTAAAGTTCTGAAGGATTGATGCTGATTCAAGTGGTGAATGTATGGTTTAAGAGCTTCAGGGCAGAATTCAAGCTCCGTAGATGGTGGGGGAACACGACCCAAGATATAGCTCCAGAAGAGGGGTTGAAGGTTTGAGGGGTAAAATCTCGGCCTGCCTTTCGTTAGGAAACTAATGCAGCTGGGCCCTGAGATCTGCCCCGTTCGTCCCAACGGAAACACATCACGAAGACGCGGCTCAACGCGGGCCAAAGGGAAATCCCGCACATTCCGGGATCGGTGCAGCCTCCGGTTGGTCTTCTGAGGCGTGGGGCCAAGGGATGTTGACGAAGACAGTGGTCTGATAAGGGTACAAAGGCGAGGCATCGTGCGGCATCGGCTTAGGCTAAAGGGGTTCTTGCAATCGGTTTCAGTGCTTGGCAGGTTGCGAAGTTGTTGCTTGCAATCGCAAGTCGTCAATTGGGGGTATCATCATGGAGCTATCGCTGATGCAAAGAAGGCCGGCCATCCATCAAAATACAGTATGCCAAAACACCACCATCGAGGCCAGACCAGTCAAGAATCCGAGCTGGGTGCCGAAACTGCCGGCGCCGTCTTTATGATCCTCATCGTCAGGATCCGTCGGAGGACCTACAAGAGGCCCCCGCTCGGGTTGCTCCGGGTCGCCCCCTATCGGCGCCTGGATCCAAGACTTGGGCACCTGTGTGAGGAAATCATACCAGTATCGTCCCATTTCCTTGTAGCCGTTATTGTTGGGATGGATGCAGTCCTTACGGAGGTAGTCGCCTGTTATAGTCGTAAAGTCTGCGACCAGGACATGCTTGCCGGTGTCGATGCGCTCCTTGACGACACCGGGGATGAGCGACTGAAATTTGCTCTCGCGCTCTCGTCTCTCCTCGTCGCATGAGCTAATGATGATGGCGACGATGATGACAGCGTCAGGGCAAGCCTTGGCCATCTGGTCGATCAGCACGCCGAGTCTGTTCGCGGCTCCCGTGGGATCATTGCCCTGAACAGAGCGTTCGGGCCGCGCGCTCATGTCGTTGGTGCCGGCATGCAGTAGGATGATGTTCGGGCGCTGTTCGAGCGACGGCCCAACGTGTTCGTCCATGTACTGAATCGTCTGTCCGCCCCAAGCAGCCTGTCGCAGTTAGTTGCCTGGTTGACGCCAAACGGGATGCCATTGATGGGGGCTGCGAACGCACAAAGTATCCATCTGGAAGAGTCCCCCTCTGCTGATCACCGGCGAAGAAAAGTTCATTACTTTCTGATCACCATTAGTATTTTATTTCGACTTCACATGCCGACCGGAGCTCTGTGCGTTGACGTACCAGACAAGAGCGCCTTCAACTCGCCCCTGTAGCCATTCCAATCGCTGCTCCCGTCACCGACAGTAATCGAATCGCCGACACAAAGAATTCGAAGCTCCGTGTTCTCCTTGACGACCTCACCGGTCGGGGCCGACGTATATTCCAACGGCAGAGACACAGACAGATTTGTGTGAATGCTGTAATCGGTGCTGGCCAGCGCCATGACCAGCGCGGAAGCTGTGGTGATCAAGCGTGGGGCCCGCATGGCGATTGCGACCGGGATGTGGAATGGCACCGAGCCGTTGGCTTTGCGTTTCGTAAGGAGGCTCCAGTGGTCGGGCGAGGATGGGCGATCTCTACACTGTCAAGACTATATGAAGAGCATCTCTTTTGTCTCTTGTCGTCATCTCGTTGCACAGCGTCGGCGTCACAGCTCCAGTCTCAAGCTTGACTTGCCACAAAAACTGGGCAATCGTCACTTCTTAACCACCTTCAATCGCGCTATGCGCTCGGCCATGTGTGCCTAGACGGCGGGCGGCGTGGTCACGGACCCCTGTGGATTTGTTGGCGGGAGATGTCTTGGCGGTCTGTCGTCAGAGATGACTCGTAGCTCGGCATCCCGGGAGACTTGAGAGAGGAATGGATGGAGGAACAGCTCCTGGTATGCCCAGGCCGACGTGGGAGGTCAGCATGATAGTTGCCAAGAGCCAGACCCAAGTGTCGCTGGGGGTATCCAAAGCGTAATAGGGCTGACGGTGTCCCGTTCACTGCTGAACAAGGTGCTCCAGGCACTTAGATCCTCTTGGCAGGCTTGGTTTACGTAGGGTGGCCCCAGAGTTGGGGCCAAGCCGCTGAAGTGACCGCTAAGTCGAGGCCGGACCAGCCGGCTGGACCGAGTTTCTTTGTCTTCTAGGCGAACCCGAAGGGCCGATCGTATCGAGGATCATCCATCCTCCCACCAAAAGCCCACGGGAGGACGGCAAAGGCGGTCGAACCGATCTATTTCTGGTCGGATCTGACGCCACTAGTAATCCCCTCCATCAAGAGACTTTGGCCCCCCAAAAAGAAACGAAACCAGCGTCAACGTGCCGTCAACTACTCAAAACTTGCTTCTACTCATGGAGCTTGAGAACAAGGGAAAACAAACTTGTCTAACGAAGTCCACAATCTTGAACAGTCCACCACCGTATTCCGTATCGCTTAGTCCTCATGCAGGGTTACTTGGGCTAGCGGTCTGCAGTTGGTTCTCTGGCATCCAGGGCCATGTCTCATTTCCGATAGTCTGGTCACGATGTCTTTCAGTGTTTTGTACATTCCAACAACAGGACGAATTAATTCGTCCCAAACGGCACACCCAGTCAGCAAGGGTCTGTCTCTTGTCCCACATGGGACAGGTATGCTACAGTACAGCTGTGCATCAATTGATGCATGTGTTTTTCGTCCAGAAAAAAAAGGCTCACTCAGAAACCCTCAGAACGACCCTCCCAGGGTGGACACATCTCCGGACTCCTGATGCCAGAATCTTCCAAAGAAGACAGGCCTATTTCAGCTCCTTGATTTCTGGAACCAACAGCGCAATCAATCCAAAAGCAGACCGAGCCATTCACTAACAGGCCCGAGTCTTGTGCTTTTTGCCCACGTGTCCCTTCCCAGAGGACCCCGAGCTTCTGTGTTTCCGCTGCCCAGCAGCCACCCCGACGACGCCCCTGTCAAGCTCCTCGTAGTGTGATGACTCGACGCTGCTCGCGCTCGTAGACGAAGACGATGTTCTCGAGCACTGCGATTTGGTAGGCGCGGTCGACGAGCCATACCCTGATGCCTCGGAACCGGCGGCTTCAAGCTCCATCTCCTCTTCGCTGACGGGCGGGAATCCTCCGAGGAGGGAAAACGCCGACCCACGCCGGTGCGACGATCGCGGCGCCGGATGGAAGCCGAACTTGCGGCTCGCCGTACCCTTGCGCAATTCGGGGAATGTCATTCCGGGCGAAGTGGCGCATGTGGCAGCTGAAACCATGGCACGTCAGTCTTGAGCACGCATTTCTTTGATACTTCAGATGGGGAGTCGGGGGTTGCTCACTGGATCTGCTGCATCTCTCGCAACACCCATGAGCACAAGGCTCCTGTCGATACGCCGCTCTCGGGACGTCGACAGGGTCGTCCGACGCCTTCCAGATGATGTTGGTGCACCACCCAAGCTTGTTGGATGTTTGTTGACACTGGCAGCATGACCAGCTTCCGCCCATGGCCTTGTAGTGGCAGTTTTGTAGCGCACAGTCCGTATTTGATGGCTGGGCTGCGGCGTAGCTCAAGTGCGAACATGGTGTCTCGATGCCAGTGTCGAGGTCAATGATAGCCGCTGGGCAATAATGCCAGTTGACCGAGGTGTGGGAGCAAGGGTGATGGCGAGGATGTCCATGACACATCTTGGCGGTTGGTGTGTATTGGACTTCTCGTCGGGTCGTAGGTTAGAGAAGCAGGTTCAATATGACGCCACCTCTGTGTATACAACCTGACGATGAAATGAGGATGGTTTAGTGCTGGTCAAGCAGCTTCTGCAGAGCGTGCTAGAGGACTACGCCAACGAAGAGATTCTGCTACAGAACCGTCCAATTCTTCAACAGCGATCTCGACCAATCTTATACAGAAAAGGGTGGTCGAGTAGTTCTGTCAAAAGATTCTGCAATACCGAAAGCATTTCAGCCCAGATGAACATTACCGATCACTATTCCTTTGATTCTCATCCTTCATCACAGATGAGGCCAATCCCCGGCCGAAACAACAGCCTCCAACACGCCCCCAACCTCATCTCAACATGCAAAGCACGCCAACCATCTCCGACATGATCGAGGAGGTAAGAGCCGATCTCTCTGTCTTTCCTCTCTCATCGAGCACAGTGCAGTTTCTCGCTCTGACGGGAATGATCTATGCAGGACCTAGTGGCCAAAGTTCTCTCCTCGATGCATCTCCTGGACCCAGCAGACCAGAAAGGCTCTCAATGTCTCGGGTTTCGATATTGGCCTTGTGCGAAGACGTTCCCCACCCGGCGCTGCACCGAAGGCCATTGAGCAACATGAATAACCACAGTATCCGGGTCTCGTAGTTCACGTATCTGGAACATCTCCCCACCTCCTCCCCCACCTCGGCAAGTAACTGGACCGTAAGGAGGTAATCTTTGTGCGACGCACCTGGCGTCCGGACGTGGCTGGAGCTGAAGAGGAAAATGCTGACGCCCGCTCATCTGGAACCTCATCCCCGGTGGCTGCCCGCATCTTCCGTGGAACGTCGATATATTGGTCCAACTGGCTGGTTCGCGGAGCGAAAGTGCACGCTGTCGTACAAGAGTGGAATCATTTCTGTGCCCTCCAGTCAGCCGGTCCAGTGTATTTTAAGAAGTGAGGCCGTTCGATCTTGAGACACAAGAAGAGGACAGGCTTGACTGGAGGAGGCTTCACCCTAATATTCAGCCACTCAACGCCCCTGGCAACTTGAGTCAACGGTTGTAGATCCAGCGACACAAGCGACGCTGGTCGATCTGCGGTCTGCGGCCATGCCACCCCAGAAATCCAATGGGTTGGCCAAGTGTGGCCGATTGGACGGAACGATAGCCTTGTAAAGTCCAGTATGCTAGATACTTCTTTGTTTTGAATACGGTAAAGTAGACTCGGCCGTTGACCATCAGCCCCCATGGAGGCGTGGAGCTTTCGCCGCCGAATCAGATCCTGCCTTGAGCTGCATCCTCCATTCGCGACACAGGTGGTCAGCTGCGGGGAAGCGGCATGCATCGGATGGAATCCTCGCCAAGTAAGTGTCTAGCTCTTGCATCTCGTTGACCAGCTTCCGGTTCGCCTTGATTCTTGTGGACATGGATTGAAGTCACGAGTGAATTTTGGGAGGGTCGTCATGCACGGCCGCATCATTGTTCTGAGCTTCCAGTAGCTTAATAAATGCTTGCACAAATTGCGAAAGACCTGAAGTTTCCACGATGTACAATCATTGTGATCGGGAAGAGAGAGGGCTGAGCTCAGCCGGCCGGCTCATGGAATTTGGCCGACTAAACCTTAAGTATTCAGCTGTGCTGGAGGGAGACAAGCGACTACTAGCTCACAATGTCAGCTTCAATGTGGCCTGACGTGAGATGACAGCGTTTACAGTGACGATCTAAAGAATCTTCATTTATCAAGAGCAGGGCCTCCTCCGCGCCTAGATTGTTCGCAGTCAACATTTCCCTCAATGTTGGAGCAGCCTTCGACAGGACCACAAACAACCTTGGATATCTTCAATATCACATTCACACACAACAATGTCTGTAATCGAAGGATATAAAGTTGGCGAAATCGCTGCTCGGGCCGCTTTTACCTCTGACATTATTCTGGCCGACGGCATCGATCTCACTACTGCCGTCAGTCAGCAAGAGTTCGCACGTCGTCAGATGGACACTCGGAAGGGCATGTACATCAAGTACGTCCCTTACCAGCCTCACAGTGTCACTGGTCAGGCTGTCGTTGGCGGACGCTATCTATTCGACACCTGGGACGATGCCTTGGACTATGACGACTGGACGACGAACGTCTTCGAGACGGGCGACCCGCCGCAGAAGTTCTGGTCCTCCAACATATTTCAGAAGGTTGACCGTTGGATCTGGCGTGTTTCTGGTGCCTGCCAGTTCTTTTTGCCCGAAACTCATGGTTTCACCCGCTTTCAACGATGGGAGTACGACGGAGACAATGTTGAGGAAGAACTTCGGGGCGTTTATCCGAGCCTCCGAGAAGCTGCCAAGGCTCGAGGAGCTGCAGGTATCTGGCTTTTCTATCAGCCGGACGCCAAGTTGATTGGAATTCTCACGATTATGAAGAAACCAGAGGTCTTAACCACTAAGTCTCTCTACGAGGCCTTGGAAGACCTCAAAGCTCAGCCTTCGTTTGGCTCCCTTATACCTTCGACTTTAAGCCCTCGCTCTGTCTTCGATAATTCAGCCCTGATACTCGCGATGTGGCTTCCAGTCTCTCGTTCGGTAGGCGGTGCTAACCAGGACACTCCTTTGGCACCTGTCCTGCCGTCCGTCACGACTTAGATTCGCGTCGAGCATGGATTAACGAGGCTCCCAAGATTGGATTGATGCATTTTCCGTGTTCCCCGTTGGAAAAAGGATTGTATGCCGGCTATCACTACAAACATTTCGTATAATTCATGTGCCTAGCTTCTATTTTACGAAACACTTTGTCCAATCTAGCAAATCTCTAGCAGTTCAATGGGGCCGCAGTACAGGCCGAGCAGCAAATATGCTCGCAGCGATACTCATTGCCCTCGCTGATCATAATGCAACTGCACCTTCCTCCAATGTTCCAGCCCTTGCCGCACCAGCAGCAGTTCCAGCACCTATTCCGCGCTTCGTAGGGGCATGTTGGCAGTGGGCACTGAAGGTCTGAGTGCGCTTCAAAACCCTGAGGGGGCGCGTAGGGAACATTATGGTAAGTAACGTTTTTGCAAGTTCCGCGCCCGGTCGAGGAGTCCTTCTTCGGTGCCGAGGTGCAGTAGTGAATTCGGGTGCAAACATGCTCGCATGGCAGTTTGTAGGTTGTTTTGTTGCACATGTCCGGAATGTAATGAGTTTTCTGCGGAAGGATATTGGTGATAATCAAGTGGTAGACTTTAAGTTGCTGGGCGGTATATATCAATGTACTGAATAGGCTTTTCGAAGCGGTCTGAAATGTATAATGGTTTATTCAGTAGAGCGGAAGCACTTGGAGTAGAACGTGGTCAAGCAAAGAAATGGATTGAGCATTCAGACAAGCCTGGTCTTTATAAAAGGCAAACTAGATGGCTCAGGCTACCTGGGGTCAAGCACAATGCCACTCATCGTAGTTCTCTTGAAAACACCTTGAACCAGCAACTTCGTAACCATATGTGGTTCGGCTGTCGAATCAGATAACAGCTGATTCTGCTTCTGCCCTCCATTCTGAACGAGCCCGAAATCTCTCGGCCAATGTGGCTAGCTAGTGCTTCGGGAAAATACCCTCCTGATGCTGTTTTTATCCAACAGAAACAAATAGGATGCTGTAATATTGGGAAGAAAACGTGGCATACGACTGCCAAGTCTCAACTTTTGCATGCTTGGGTGGTGCCTGTCTGATAAAGATGACCTGCGAATTTACGAAAGTTGACGGAGCGGTCACCACAGAGGAGGGTGCGCGAGCCATAGCCTGAAACGGGAGGGGCGAAGGTTCATGCCTTATTCGCTCGGGAAACGATATCGAACTGTCGACCTTGCTGCCTGACCATGCCTTCACACTCTGAAAGTGTTGGGTTGCTGAAAGTGCTTTTACGATGTAACTGGATGGCTTGAGTGGCGCCGTTGGTCGGCGACCTAGATGCCTCGACCAACCGCTTTGGTCGAGTGAAGCTTTGTAACGCGCCAGGGGCTTTGTGTAACAGTTTCTCGGTTCAATATTCTTAGTCATCTAGAATTTCTTTTCGCTGTGTCTTGGCCTACGCTGGCTGACAAGCCATCGCGTAGCAGCATATGAGCAGCTTCTGATACATGAGCCCCTGAACCCCTGAGTCAATCAGCTGAAGAGCCACTGATGGTTCCCACTTAACCTCATAATTCTCATGTTGAGTAAACTAATCCTTGTCAGCTGAGATGTGTCGGATGAAGTTACTCTTTCGAACCCTTGCTCCGCTTAAAGCTAGCCTGGCATTCCCCAAGCCCGGCTGCTTGAGGCCCAGAGCCCCTTCAAGTACCTATTGTTCCATCTTGACGTACCATTTTCATACCCTCGAGACCCTCACTCTCGGGTATCTTGAGTGCAGCCTTCACAGGCTCGATGATAGCAGAAAGTGTCAGGACTCTTTCTCATCTTATGACCACACCATCGCAGCACGTTGTTGCCCCTCTGGCACTGGCAGCATATCCAACACCCTCCGAGATCCTGTAGGCGACAGGTGCCTGAACTACAGTCTGGTGACACAAGACACCCAGATGTGGCGCAGGGGTTCGAGTAGTCTACAGACTGGGCCTGGTCATAGAACGAGCAATCGCAAGGAACTCCATTTTTGCCTTCTGAGTCCCAGACCGCGTCGGGGCAGAATTCGTAGTGAACCACATAGTCAATAGCCCGGCGACAGGGAGAGACATGATGGTGGTGAAGGTAGTAATAGATGCACATGATCACGCTTTGGAGCGGCTTTCGCGGGACAGCTTCGTGCTGGCAATTTTGGAAACCGAGCAGCCGATTTTGCGCCACGTTCGTTTACTCGGTCAAATATTATCTCGATCCTTGAATCGTATTCAGCTCGGCTTCCGATAAGCGAGTATGCCGTGGAGACCTTGTACAAGACCTGAATTTTGTTCTTGACGCCTTGAAAAGACGATTTTGAGTTTTTGCCTTAGAATTTTCCATCAGCTTTACAGCGGCTTGAAGGG